CACACACACACTAAAATATACGTTTTTAGTTTGTAACATTAAAGTGCTTCTGATGAGTGTGGCTCAGGACACTGGACCAGTGCTGCTGCCAAAACCACCACAGACAGTCGCTGCTGCCAGCCCAGCACCCATTCCACCAGCACAGCGGGACACAGCGAAGATCAGCAATGGTTGACCCCACAAAGCCACGCCTGCTTTTTAAGAACCTTGGGTACTGGGTTAACCAGTGTCCCCTGAAAAAACAATTTGATGAATTTAAAAATAGCAGGGGTGGAGAACTACAAGGGCTCCCAGGGGGTCATCATCAACAACAAAAAAACCCAAATGGGGAGCGCCAGCTTGCCAGGTGCACAGACACAAAAAGAGCAGGCCAAGGGAATGAGGGACGTGAGAAAGACCAAGCGCGCAGTAACATCCCCATTTCTCTAAGTGAAGCAGATGCTTCAAAGACCACTTCTGCTGGTCCACCACTGGATGCGACACCAAACAACCTTTGCTATGACTTAGGCAAACCGATTCTAACCACAGCTTCTACCAATGAGCCTTTCAGGTTGCAGCTGACAGAACCACTCCACCTGAAAGACACTGACTGGCATTTTGTCTCCGTGAGCCCACAACAGCAGGGAACTTGGCACCGAATTCGCTCTAAGTACAAAGTCACTGGGGACGCCAAACGCACACCACAAGAGATCAAAATTGCTTCAGGAATGGTAACATCAGATCCTGAGCAATTTGTTTTCTGGCTGCACTGTTTCCACCCACCTGTTTCTTCCCGAAGGACAAATCGTAGCACAGGATATCCTGGAGCCAAGTCTATCTGAAGGCATTGAAAGACAAGGGCCCACAGTCGCTGGGTCCAAGCTATTGGGAAGGACAAACCCAAAATCTGGTGTAATGTCGGAGGGGGTGGGAGTCAAAATGCATCGAGATGCTCATAGACACGGGTGTGGACTGCAGTGATCCCAGCACAGGACTGGCCAGCACACTTTGCAAAATGTGGCTGGTCACTTTTGAGGTATAGGGGGCATGCAATTGGCAAGACAATCTAGGAGCGTCATCCAAATCGAGGGGTCAAATGGACAATTGGCAAATCTACGTCTGTTTGTGTTAGATTATCCAGAGCCCTTTGCTGGGGAGACCTAATGGGCCAATGGGGAGTCACAATCGACATTCCAGACTCTCCACAGGGTTTTTGGGCAGTGGTCACTGAGAAGCGCCCTACCCAAAAACTGGATTGGAAGACATTGTATACATCAGTCTGGGTAGAACAGTGGGCGCTCAGTAAACAAAAACTGAAGGTGCTTGAGGAGCTAGTGGAAGAGCAGTTGTAAAAGGGTCACATCATGGAGATCAGGTCTCTGTGGAACTTTCCAGCGTTCGTCATCCAGAAGGCTGACGAAAGGATGGTGGCTCCTCCACGACCTCCAACAAATTAATAATGTCATTGAAGATATGGGCTCTCTCCAACCTGGCATGCCATCCCCAGCGATGCTCCCCCAAAATTGGAATTCGGCTGTCATTGATATCAAAGATTGTTTTTTTCCAAATTCCCCTACACCCTGACAAAGCACCGCGTTTCGCATTCTTGGTCCCCACCATAAACAGGGGAGCCCCGAGGAAGAGGTACCACTGGAAAGTTCTTCCTCAAGGACTGAAAGCCTCACCATCAATCTGCCAGTGGCGTCTCTTCCTCACTCTCCCCAGCGTGTGCAGCTGCAGAAAAGGCCATCAGCTGTCATTATAGAGATGATATTCTTGTGTGTGCCCCCAGTGATGATTTACTCACCCATGCGCTTGACCTAATGATTGATGCATTGATTGTTGCAGAGTTCGAGCTCCAGGAAAAGAAAATTCAAAAGAAGCCACCTTGGAAGTACTTGGGCTTAGAAATTGGGAAGAGGATCATTGTTCCTTAAAAAAATTAGAAACCAAAATGAGGATTGAGACCCTTGCAGATGTCCACAAGTTGTGTGGGTCTTTAAATTGGGTAAGGCCCTGGCTAGGTCTGGCTAACAAAGACTTTGCCCCTTTTTTCAATTTATTGAGAGGGGGAGAGGACCCGAGTTCTCCTAGGGCTATTACCCCGGAGGCACAGAAAGCTCTAGAAAAAGTTCAGACAGCAATGTCTACGAGACAGGCCAGGCAATGTCGATCTGACCTGCCATTCAAATTTATCATCTCAGGTAAGTTACCACACCTCCATGGAATCATTTTCCAGTGGGAGCAGAAACAAACACCTAAGGCAAAAGAAATACCTAAAAAGGGGCAGAACCAGAGGGACCCTCTCTTGATCATAGAGTCGGTTTTCTTCAGTCACCAAAGGCCCAAGAGAATGACAAAGCCCCAAGGGCTGGTAGCAGAACTGATCCAGAAAGATGGGACCAGGATCAGGGAGCTGGCAGGATGTGACTTTGACTGCATTCACATTCCAATCAGGTTAAAATTGGGCCAAACTACTAAGGCAATGTTGGAACATTTGCTTCAGGAAAATGAAGCGTTGCAGTTTGCTCTGGATTTCTGCTCAGGATAAATTTCTATCCATCGGCCTGCACACAAAATTTTCGAACAAGAAGTTCACTTCACCCTGAAATTGGGAAGCATTCAAAGTAGGAGACTTTTAAAAAAGGCTCTGACTGTCTTTACAGATGTGTCCGAGAGATCCCACAAGTCCGCTATGGCTTGGAAGGATCCTCAAACTCAGCAGTGGGAGATGGACATTGCTGAGGTGGAAGTTTCACCTCAGGTTGCTGAGTTGGCTGGAGTTGTTAGGGCCTTCAAAAAGTTCTCAGAACCATTCGGTTTGATTACAGACTCTGCCTACATGGCAGGAGAAGTATCCAGGGCACATCAAGCAATACCGCATGAAGTGTCTACCATCGCACTTTTTGAATTGCTCTCAGAACTTGTAAAGTTAGTCTCCCACCGAGAGCAACCATTTTTTGTGATGCGCATCAGGTCACACACCAGCCTGCCAGGTTCTATCGCCGAAGGCAACAGAAGGGCAGATGCTCTTGCTGTGCCTGCAGAGATGGCCCCTCTCCCCGGTGTTTCTGAACAGGCGAAAAGCAGCCACCAGCTTTTGCACCACAATGCACCTGGCCTAGTTCATCGGTTTCACATCACCCGGCAACAGGCCAGAGCGACTGTGGCCACGTACCCCAATTGCCAACAACACGCAGTCCCTACGAAGCGCGGGAGCAAACCCGAGGGGGCTGAACAGTCGTGAACTGTGGCGAACATTCAGACGGCAGAAATACGTTCTTGTCAGTGTAGATACTTTTTCTGTGCCTCTGCCCACATGGGAGAATCATGCTCTGATGCCATAAAGCACCTCCTACAGGCTTTCCCTTTCATGGGCATCCCCAAGGAGTTGAAAACTGATAATGGGCCCATTTACAAATCCAAGGAATTCCAGAGTTTCCTGCAGCAATGGGGAGTAGAGCACAAAAAAGGCATCCCCTACTCCCATACAGGCCAAGCCATAGTGGACAGGACTCACCTCGATATCAAAAGTCCTGGACCAGCCACATCAGGTCCTGAAAGTGGAACCTCCCCACATCCGGCTGTCCAGAGCACTGCTCACAATTAATTTTCTGAACTGTTCTTTTGACAACCTGAGTCCGCCCATCGTATGCCACTTTGGGGGGAGCAGTCGGATGCCAGCGAAAGAAAAGCCTCCAGTCTTAGTGAAGGACCCTGAGACTTGGAAGACAGTGGGACCTTACAAATGGGTTGCACGGGGATGTGGACGCGCCTGCGTGTCCACCCGCTCTGGTTTAAAGTGGGTTCCATCCCAATGGGTAAGGCCCTATGTCCCCAAGGTCTCAGGGAGGTCTACAGAAGCACCCCAGGTCGCTAATGCTGCCTGGAGGAGGAGATGCCACCTGTGTTTCCTGGAAGAAATTCCATTTACACCTTCTATCTGGAATAATTTGTAATATATTTCCGTCTTGAGTTTCTTTTACCAGTTTGGATCCTGCTGTTCACGTGCGGTCTCAAGACACCGTGAGACCGAGTCTGCTCCTCATCCTACTCTCCATCATTCCACCAGCGATCTCCTGGAGAGTCCCTCAGCCCAAAGCAAACACACGGACCGCCTAGACCAAAGCCCCTGGACAGGATCACATCTGTCTCTCCACAGCAACAGCCTCTGACCTCCTCTCAGCTTGCCTGGTGGGAGTTCCTTTTAAATCCACAGTTTCCAAACTGTGACATGCTTTAAATGAAGTTAACTCGCTCACACCTCCTCCTGGTCGCCATCCTGCTGACAATCCTTTTCTGTTTTAGCAGGAGTGGGCAAGACACTTACTGCTGCCAAAAAGGCAGCCACAAGAATTCCATCTCTCGGGCTCCATGAATGCAACCTGTTGCATTCACTGTAAATTTAATCCCCAGTTACCATATTATGAAATTAAGCTGAACACCTGTCCTCACCCTAGCAGCCCACACTACACAGACAAAAACTGGTGCGAAAATTCAATCCCAGTCACGCACTGGTCAAGTGATGATTACAAACCCCATGAGCTCCCAAAAGTTGTGTTTTTAATATGTGGAGACAGAGCTTGGGCAGGCCTCCCCCCTCGTCTGCTCGGAGGTCCATGCACCTTTGGCAAGCTGAGCCTGTTTACCCCAAATCGAACAAATCTAATGCACTGGAAAATAAAAAACAATACACATAAATTTGCAATCCAAAAAAGGGACCTAAGGCAATTAGACCCAGACTGTAATTCGGAAATTGTTCACTGGTCCAGATTTAAGGCCACCACAACTGCAGTCCTTCTGCCGTGGATCTCGGCAGCAAAAAGCATGGGAGAGTTAGGCTGATTGGAATGCTGGGCTGCAAAACAGGCAAACCTCACTTCTACTGCCCCGAGTGACTTCTTCTCAGGTGAGGAGGAAATTACCAGGCAAGCCACCATTCAAAACAGGGCAGCCACAGACCGTCTGCTCCTCCTGCACAACCATCGCTGTGAAGAACTTGAAGGTCTCTGCTGCCTCACCTCGCCATCGAAAGCAGAGAACGCCCATGGTGAGATCGACAGCACGAAAACCATGGCGAACAACATCAAAAGAGACACAGACAACTGGCTGGTTGGGCTGTTCAAGGACTGGAGACTCTTGGGCTGGTTTGGATCTATTCTGAAAACTCTTTGGTACTGTTTATTCCAGTTGTTGTTATTGTAGTTGTTAGCATTGTTTTTGGGCTAATCAAGCGCATGGTTCACAAGTTAATTCCAAGCTCATCTTCCCCCACTGAAGTCTACCACTTGGAAGCCCCTAGTGCTCCAATGGACGACCTGGAAGCCTCAGCTGAAGATAGGGACCCTCCTGAAGGATGGGAACCAACTCACCAACTGTGGTTTGGCAAGCATTCTGCCCCCCAAACCCAGCCCTCTTCATTTCAAACAAAACGACGTGGAGATGCTGCGGCGTTGATTTTATGGTTTACCCCAGAACCCCGGGTTCCTCCCCTGAGGTTGTCCTCCCAGGTGGGTCAATCACTCCTCCTTTCCCCACCCTGACCCCTGTGAGCACTGTCTTTCTTCCTGACATTCCAGAAGGTCATCAAGTGATTGGGCAGGTTCAAAAGATGCGCTCCACTGAGACCTGCTCTCCCATACCTGGTTGGTGGCTCCCTATCCCCTCCCGAGGAAAAAGGGCAAGCAGCCACGCGGTCCGGGAAGTTCTGATGGAGCAGTGACTGGATCCAGAGGCCTGTGGGAGTTCTGTTTGGAGCTGCTGCTCCATTCAGAGTCCTGTGGGCCAGAATAAAGCTCTGGATTAAACCCTCCATCAGAACCGACTCCTTTCCTTCACCATCACCTTAAAGGCCCCTCCTGCAGCGGGAAACTCCACGAGAGGAAATTCCATCCCGCCGCCACCGGAGCTCCGGCACGCCTGGACTTCTCTGCACCATCCAGCT